AAAAAAAAAAAAACTATCTTAATATAAAATATACATGCTCCAAGTCAGGAACCGTTACATAAGTGCATTTCACAATTATTTTATGATTTTTAGATCCAAATATAGCTGCAACAAATGCCTATGTCCTTGTGTGACTGACCAGGTAGCACCCTACATCTATTGGTAGACACCATATCCTTCAACCAAGTTGTCGGCAGTCTTGCGGTGCCTACCGGTGAAAGTCGGATTAAGATGCCTCGTCAGAAGTAACGGACTCTCAACTTTAATTAATTTACCATTGGTTTGGTTTGTATGTGTTTTACGTCCTATTAACAGCTATGGTCATTTAAGGACGTGCCAGGTTTTGGAGGTGGAGGAAAGCCGGAGTTCCTTGGGGAAAACCAACGACCTACGGCCAGTACCTGGCGACTGTCCGACGTAGGTTTCGAACCTGCGACCCAGTGGTGGAGGGCTAGTGGTAGCAGAATGTCAGACGCTTTTATTATTCACCAATTTCTTTTATATACATCATATTGGAAAAATTAGAGCTGTCTTTTTGGTGCTGATTTAAGCATGCCAAAAAATTGTTTGCATGTTTGCTGCTTGTGAAGCTCTCAAAAAACGAACACGATTTAGTTAATTTGCTTAAAAATGGCAATTTTACTATATTCACGTCTCTTTGTATGCTACACCTCCTATACCAATTTGCGTATGAAATCGAATTTTTTTATTGGCATTTTCCCAAGTTTACGAATATATAACATCTTAAAACAAAAACCTCGATGAGACCAGAGACGACCCTAAACGCCCCTTGTCCTTGATGAGGGAAAAAAACGTACGATAATATACATTTTCGGATTGTTTTTCTCATTTTGACAATGTTTTAAGAATATTCATTTTTTTTTATAATTATATATTTATTTTTTCAGATACAATATCAGTATTTCTAAAGTTCCAAACTATGTTAAAGTCTAAGAGCTTCTCAATACCCCCACAAAAACGGCCCGTTATTCATAGTGTAGAGATGACACTGACAGACCGGTGAATCTGTATGGACTAATATGTTCGAGAAAAGATTATTCGTTGTTCTTGCATGTGGATCAGTGGTGATAAGGCAAATGCATATATGTTGGTCCAAAAGCAATTCAATAAGGAGTGAACGGTTTCCCCCTCCCCCTTCTCCCCCCC